GATCTGCCGGGCGGGCAGCGGGGGCGGGCGGTCGCGGCGCTTCCGCGCGGGTAAGCGGCTGCGCGGGCGCGGGGGAGCCGCGGGGCCGGGAGGGAGGGAGGGAGGGAAGGAGGGCGCTGGTCCCGCGCCACGGGGAGGCTGCGCCGCCGCCTCCCGATGCGCGTCGTGTCTCTCTCTCTCTCTCTCCCCCACAATGATTTTCTGCGGAAACAATAGCAAATATCAGCGTTTATTTGCGCAGGGGCCGCTGGCGGGGCGGGGCGAGGCGAGTGCGGCTCGGCCCGCACAATGGGGGCTTTGTTGGGCGCACAGGGCTCCTCTGTGCCGGAGCCGCCGGGCTCAGCCCCGCTCCCCCGCGCTCCCGCCGCGGCTGCGGGGCAGCAGGAAGCGCCGTCAGATCACAGGGAAAACGCCAGCCAGGTTTAAAGTTAGTGCTGACACCCTACGGAGCGTAGTTAATCAGCGGGACAAGCATCTCTGAGTGTAGCTGGCAGATGGGAAAGTCCCCGAGAGGTCTTGAGCTCATTGGTCGTGGGTTTGAGCACCAGCGGTGGTATTGGAAGGAGAAACTTAAATTGGGGTGCAGGGACTATGTGGAGGAGGGAAGAGGCTCCATGCCAGGCGTCCATCTCGTTTTGGTGGTGAGAAGTCAACATTGGAGCCTTTGGGAGCTCTCCAATTTCTTAAGGAGATGCACGTCTTGTTCCCTTGCTCCCAGGCACACCATGGATACCACCGGCCACAGCGTCCTCCTCCTCCAGCAGCTGAACATGCAGCGGGAGTTTGGCTTTCTGTGTGACTGCACAGTTGCCATTGGAGATGTTTACTTCAAAGCCCACAGAGCGGTGCTCGCTGCTTTTTCAAACTATTTTAAGATGATATTTATTCATCAGACGAGGTAAGAACACACAGCTCTCCTCCTATCCTTTTGCCACTCTCAGCATTCTGCTTTTTCTTCTTTCTAAAGGTATAAAAGTCTAAGAGAGTATAAATGGGGATGTTAGGTGGTTTGAGATTATTTTCCTAACCCAGCACAGGCCTTGGCTCTCTAAACAATCCCAGTCCAGAAAGCACTGCCCTTTAAAACCACTTTCTTAGTCAGCGTATGGCAACATCAGACCCTGCATTTTGGAGATGAGGCATTTGTGTGACCAGATAAATAAAGCATGTAAATACCACCATCTTCTGCAGTGAGAGCCTTGCAGATTTGGAATCCAGGGATATCCTGGTACTCCTACCCATGTGAAATGAAATATGCCCAGTACTTTGCCTTAGGTTGTTGTCAAGCTTGCTGGATGAGACTGTCATTTCTGGCAGGATCCACAGGTTTGAAACAATCGAGAAGCTGTGGCCTTATCACAGTTCTGTGCTTCAGACTCTTGGAGATAAGAGCTGAGACTGAGATCATCAATTCATTTCAAGCTGTTGTTCACATTGCTTCATCTGGCCAGGTCAGGAGTGGTTCTGCAGGTATAACAAGAGCAGTGCCAAGGTCTGGCCTCTGACCTGGGGCTGACTGCTTGTGATGGATTAAACCTTCTTCATTCCCCTTCCTTTCTGAGGATCGTGGCCTCCAGAACCTCTGCAAGATAATCTTTAGGATCAGCTGCATCGCCCCTTGGCTGGAAGTGAGATGAGTTAACTGCCTTTCCCTGTGGATGTTGTTTGCTGACACTTAAGTGCAATACTCATAAAGATTACACAGTACTGGCAGCTGAACTTATTGCTCAGATAGATGGAGTGGCACACACTGGTGATGCACAGCTTGCATGGCATCGCTGCAGTGCTGTGTGGCTGCAGCTGGCTCTGCATGGGAGGGATGGGGTGGCCAGGGCTGGTCACTTGCACCAGCCTCAGCTGCAGTTGTGCACGTGGTCTTCAGAATCACAGGGATAAACGCAGACTCAGGCACTTGGCTTTGCAGACAAAGCTTCTGCACTTCTGCAGGGCTTGGCAGGAGTGCTGCTTGTAAAAGTGCTCTCACAGCAAATGGGCAGGTAATGGATGGGAATTTGGATCCCTGTATGTACTTAATCATCTGTTTTATTTCAGCGAGTGCATAAAAATTCAGCCTACAGACATCCAGCCTGACATATTTAGTTACTTGTTACATATCATGTACACTGGGAAAGGGCCAAAGCAGACCGTCAGCCAGAACCGGCTGGAGGAGGGCATCCGCTTTCTGCACGCAGACCACCTCTCCCACATCGCCATCGAGATGAACCAGGCCTTCTCCCCAGAGCCTGTCCAGTCCTCCAACTTGTACGGGATCCAGATCTCCACGGCACACAAGCTGGCAAAGGAGCGCCTGGGAGCGAAGGAGAGCCTGCCCAAGGCGGGCGGCAGGTCTGCGGCCCAGGGCGATCACCCCCAGCTGCAGCTGTCCCTGGCCATCGGCCTGGACGATGTCCCCCTGGACCAGCAGGCCGCTCGCCCCGCGGCCCAGCCCGCGGCTCTGGCCAAGCCGGCGGAGGAGCGCCCGAAGCTCTCGGTTTCCATAAAGCAGGAGAGGTGCGACTCCGAGCCCGTGGTGTCCCAGAGCTGCACCCCTCCTTCTCCGGGGGTAGCGAGCCCCGTCCTCGCCAAGGGCAGCCTCAAGGTGCACTTGTGCCACTACTGCGGGGAGCGCTTCGACTCGCGGGACGGGCTGCGGCAGCACCTGCACACCCACGTCTCGGGCTCGCTGCCCTTCGGCGTCCCGGCCTCCATCCTGGAGAGCAGCGACCTGGGTGAGGTGCAGCCTCTGGCTGAGGACAGGGAGCCTGGGGATGGCCATCGCCTCGGGGCCTTCCTCCTCAAGGAGGATGAGCATCAGCTGGAGCACCCGAGCTGCAGCGACCTGGAGCCTCTGCAGATCGGGCAGCTCTCCCTCATCTCCAAGGACCACGAACCGGTGGAGTTGAACTGTAACTTTTCTTTCTCAAGGAAGAGAAAGATCAGCTGCACCGTTTGCGGCCGCACGTTTTTCCGGAAGAGCCAGCTGCTGGAGCACATGTACACGCACAGAGGGAAGCAGCACAGGTACGGCCGCTGCCAGCAGCTGGAGGGCCCCACCACCCCCAGGTTTCACCCTTACTGTGACAGCGAGAGCGTGGGTAAGAGCTCCAGCTTGTCCCAAGACCACTTAGATGAATGTATTCTGGAGTCAGATCTCATCCAAGAAAGTGTCGATACGATCCTGGTAGAGTAATTCTCCCCCTTCAGATGCTGAAACTGGATGTTTTGGCATTCTCCACCTAGGGAGTGGCTGCTCTGTGCAGCTGATTTTCTTGAGCCACCATTCCCCTCACCACTGAGATAACTGTGAAGGACTGTGTACTTTGACTTGTGTACTTGCTTTTTCTACTTCTCTAACTTTTAAACTCAAGTTAATTCCCATCTAAGTCCTTCTTGGAAGCCTCCGTGTAACTCAGTTATGTTTTTCCTGAATGTGAACTTATTCCTACTCTGCTTTACTGGAGTAAAGGCTGTATTGCTGGGTGTGAGGTTTAAACATTGTCTAGTACTCTGTGTGGTGCCTAGGACTGTTTGTATCCTGTAGAATTGCTCTTCTGAAACCAGATGGATGGAAGTGTAGAGGGAAATACTTATTGTGTTTCCCAAACAGTTTGTTTTTAATGAAAATAAATATCTCAAGGAGATGAATCCTGAAGTTCATGTTGTTCATGTAACTGCAGTTAATAAATCTCAGCATAAATATTTGCAGGAGCCATAAGGCTGCTCTTTTCAAGGGAATTGGCAGTGTTGATGTAGGGGTGGCAACCTTCATTTTGACAAGCCCTGGAGTCCTCATCTGTCTTGTAAATTTACTTTTAAACTCTAGGGATTTGCATGTGTTTTTCCTCCTTCCTACTCCTCCCTCATTCACCACTACTGGATAAGCAAAGACAGATTTTAATGCCCCTCTAGGACCATGCTTCATTTTTGGACTGTCTTTGCAGGGAGGAAGGCAAGCTGCAAAGTGTTCTCTTCTTTGAGAGGAGACATACCCTACTTAAGTCTTTACAGGATTACATGCCACACACGTATTTTCTGAGTGAAAATGATTTCTGACTTTATAAACAGCTTGGAGTAAACACATTTTTTAATATTACAATCTGTATATTTGCTCAGAGCAAATACACAGCGTGTTATTTTTTTCTCTGTTTGCAGAGCCAGTGTCTATCATATAATCATGGAATGGTTTGGGCTGGAAGGGACATTAAAGATGATCTAGTTGCAACCCCCCTACCACAGGCAGGGCCACCTTCCACTAGGTTGCTCAAAGCCCCATCCAGCTTTTCATTTATCATTACTTGTTATCTGAAGGGTAATATCCAAGGAGGGGTTAAAATTATACACATGCCTCTTGAATTCATAGTTTGTCCCTCTCTAGTTTTCATCCCAGGCTTCCCACCTGATGGGCTGCAGCCCACCCCTCAGAGATGCTGCTACTCAGAAGGCCCTGAGGAGACACACCAAATTCTTAGAGAGCAGAGAGCTCTTCTGCAGCGCAGAGCAAAAGCCTCGTGAGCTGCTCGCATAATCTCTACCCAGTTTTTGAGAAGCTGGAAGCTTCCTGCCAGTCCTGGTGGAGCCGAGTCATTCCCTTTGGAAAAGGGGAGCCTGAACAATGGTGTGAGATCAGTTTGCTGTCAGAACGCCTGCTCCAAAGCTCTTTGTAGTCCGGGCTCTCGAGCTGTTTTTGATACTGTCCTGGAGCCAGAGCTGCAATTAAATCACTGCCATATTAAAAGACCATCTGAGGTCTTTGTAAGGGCGGTTGCTGCTTCTCCTAGGCAGGGAGCTGCTCACTCCAGGGGTAGGATTGGCCACTGAGAGCTGCCAAATTGTGTTTCCAGACAAAGGGGCAAAACAACCAGTCCCCGAGCCTGCCGAGATGATGTTGCAAAATGCAGGCTGTGGTTTGGAGCGTGCTTCGCTGCAAGCCCCAGTGCTCCTTTTGCTGCTTGTACCCTTTAAAGCTGCTCTGGTGTGAACACATTTGAACTCTGCTTAAAAAGCCGTTCTTTAAAACAAGCAAACAAACAGAACCCAGCCGACACCCAGGCCTGTGAATGCTGCATCTGAGCACGGAGCCATTCACACGGAGCATTTCCTAGAAGAGAGCCTTCTGCTTCTCTCCCAGCCTAATAGCATCAGCTAAATCAGCTAAATCGCATCCAGAACAGGCTGCTCATAACTGGGCAAATGCCCTCCGGCTTCCACTGACCTCCATTTCTACATGATGGGTAAAAAAAAAAGAAAAAAAAGAGGTATTTTATGGTCATTCCTTACTTGTATGTGACACTTTTACTGAGTGGGCTGGCTTCTCTGGGTGCTTGCTTCCCTCGGCTTCCTACATTTAATTTAAAAACGGAGAGAAGTGTTTGCTGGGGTGGCTAGAGCTGTAGAAATGAGCTGTAGAGGGACTGAATGTCAGCTATTCAGCCAGTAGATAAGCACCTCCGATTGTCAAATAGGTGCCTAACTTGCCTGAAGTAATTGGTGTTGGAAGTCAAAGGGCTCTTGCTGTCTCTGCAGAGGTAACAGGGTAGTGGTAATAGAGGTGAGTGCTGGGGACAGCAGCAGGGACAGCAAGCAGCAGTGCCCAAGGAACACGCTGCTCATCCTCAGGTGCGTGGGCTGGACTGTTTTGCTCTCTTCTTGCCCATTAAATAGGGAGCTTTTATAAAAGCCATGATCTTGGGTAAAAGAGCCAAACATCCCTCGGCTGTACGTGCTGTAGGAGTGACTCCATGGCACTGACTGCAAACATACCAGCAAAGCTGAAATGAGACACAAACCGGGGCTGTGTTCCCGTGTATCCTTGGAAAGATACAGCTGTAGAGGATTGTTTTCTGTTATCCTCACACCCCCTTTTAAAGGTGCACTTTGGTTAACCTTTGTGGGACTGAACATCTGTGACATCAAATGCCTGCCAAAGGCTTCTTCTTTTTTTGCATCATTTGCAATACAAGAAATGCATTTTCAGCAGTTTTCTACTGCAAGTGTTAAAGTACTGTTATAATTAAAGCAGCAGGAAAAGCTGGAGACAGAAGTCATCAGCTCCGAGTTATGTTAACATAAAAACATCATTCTCTCCAAGTCTTGTGAATAGAAAATAATTTTACAGGGCAGTTACATTTGCTAAGCAAGGGCAGCAGCTGCTCCTGGATAAATCATGAGAAGTTTTATTACTGTATGTGGAAGACACTTGAATTACTGAGTGCTTAACCTTTATGCCGGTACATGCTTGGAAATTTGCCTGACTTGCACAGCTGGGTTTGACAAATACTCATTTCTTGTTGGGATTTGATTTTTTTTTTTAAATAATCTAAAAAATTTTGTCATAGTCTGCAGAATAATTATACTAGTGATTCCTTCCAGATATCTGTGACTGGTTAATGGATGCACATGGGCTTAGGCAAAGAAAGCCCTGAGGTGGGAATACTTCAAGGGCGGAAGTCCCAAAGCTCCAGGGGATCCTTGGAGATTTGTCATGTGCTCTGGAGACGTCCCGTCATTAGGGGTACTGAGCTGATGAATCATAGTCATTGAAGTGCCTTCTCTTTGGGCTCTACAGCTCATATTTTATGTAAAGATGGGAAGATTTGGGCTCAGATCCTCCCTGCCAAAGCCCCTGAGCATGAGCAGACTCTTCAGCCAGCTCAAGTGAACCTCTGAAATGCCACTAAGTGCAGCAGTGGCTGTCATCATGTATCTGGGTGCTGGCCCCAAAATACTGACTGTACATTGGCTGGTTCAACCACCAGAACATGAGAAACTATTTCAAGACAGGTAATTTGAAATATTTTGAAATCTTTTTAGTGCCCTGGTGCTGCTGGACCCAACAAGGTCTGTGTTTCTCAGGCTTCTTAGGGTGCATTAAAGTGTGTGGACAAAAGTGTATTTATCCCCCCTGCAGTGTGGGGTCTGGAGAATGTTGTTTTTGTGCACACTGAGAAGGTTGAACAGGGCAATGAAATTTGCTGTTGGGATGTAAACCTGAAGCAGTGAGCATTACAGTTAAAAACAAGGCCATGAAATACTGCTATCATGCCATTTCACTTCTTCAGTGTGATGCTGATACTGAATAGTTTTCTAGTATTTTGGAAGCAGAAAGTATTTATCCTGTGTAAGTGAAGCCTTCAGAACTGCAGTGAAAAGTGACCTCAGCATATGCAATTCATGGGCTATCAGTGGCCAAATTTCATGGCTTATGGAAGACCTCCCACAGCAATCAGCCAACAGGTCATGCCATACCTCTGCCATGATCTTGAGATTCCCTGTTCAATAAAACTCAATCTCTTCCCTTCTCATCCAGGATTGCCAAAACAACTGCAACAGAGTGGGCTTCCCAGCAGTCTAGCACTAAGAAAATGTATTCTGAGCAAAAAGAAATCATGAAGAAAAAGGTAATGAGGATGGATGTGCCCTAAATTACATGCTGGTTAAACATTTGCAACCAGAGCTGTGTCAAGACTGAGCTCCCTGAGATGCAATCGCGGCATCTACGGGATTTGCATGTTTCATTAAGAAAAAGTAATGACACAACTTCAAAAGCAGCCTAGGAGAGGAAATGTTCTCCACCAACTATTCTAAACCAGAGGCTGCACACCCAGAACAAAGGCAGGGCAAAGCTCTCAGACTTCTCTGGGTTTCACCTGAGTGGAGGTGGCTCTGGGAAGCTTTGGGGGATTCCAGCTGGGAACTTGGGGGTACCTCCTGGGATGCACAGGGCAGTGCAGCAATGTTTAGTCCATGTGAATCCTCCTGTTACTGGCACAAATACTGTACAAAAACACTGTCTAAAGCCCCCTGTCCCTCTTGGCAATCCCTGGGAGTTGCAAACCATTGGGTTTAGGACATAAAGCCAGCTATATGTTCCAGGGCAGGAAACCAGGACATAAAGCCAGCTATAGGCGCCAGGGCCGGGAAACCGGGGCGGCGAGCCATCGGGGGGTGATGGATGCAGGAGAAGAACCTCGTGGCACGCTGACAGTGGTGTCAGCCACCGAGAGCGGACCCAGGGATGGGCGTGCAGCCTCGCCGAGCTGCGGCCGGAGCAGCGGCAGCGGCGGATGCTCCGCGTCACCTTTGCCCGCAGCCCTCCGGGAAGGGAGCCGCTCCCGCAGCGCCCGCCTCCGCCACCCGCAGCACCGCCGGAGCCAGCAGGGCAGGAGCCCCAGCCTGTCATTAGGGCCGAGCATCCCCCAGCAGGCTGTTTTCCCCATTCGCTTACTCATGGCGCTAATGGTCGGGCTGCGGGCGCGCCTTCCTGTTGTGCCTGTTGCGCTCGCCAGCCGGGCCCCGGCCCGCTCCTGCTGCCCGCGGGCTGCGAGCCTCCCAGCGCCTCGGCCTGCCTTGCTCCGGCTGGGAAATGGAATGCAAATCGGGTTTCAGGCTGTCTGGAGCCCGACGCCGTGGTGCGGCGCAGCCGGGGAGGTTCGGCAGGCGGGAGCGGCGGGGCCGGAGCGCCGCTCCCCCTTCCCGGGGGATGCTCCGGAGGAGCCGCAGTCCTTGCGCTTCCCTCCCAGCTGCCACCTCAGCAGGCTCCCGTCACGCCGAGCTGTCAAGAACTGAGCCCTGACACGCCGCGGCCTCGAGTGTTCATTAAAATGGCAAACGGGGAGAGCAAATGTGACACGAGTGACGGGCGCCGGGGCGCGGAGATGACATCCATCCCTCTCCAGATGGAAATCTTCTCTCAGGGACAAGGGCAAAGTGATGCTCGGTGTGTCCGTGCAGCGGAGAGGACCTGGCATTGGAGAGCACCTCCCGAAAGGACAGCGGTGCCTGCAGAAGATGCTGGAGCATCTTGAAACGGGGGTGTCACCTCTTCCAGATTAAAGAGGTTTGGAAGGCAGATCTCTGCGAGGTCTGACTTGAGCACTGACAGGGTAACTGCCAGCTCGAGCTGCACATGATACTTTCATCTTAACAATCTGAATTGCAAAACATGTTTTCTTACCGTCTCCCTCCCTTTTGTATCCAGCCTGTTTGTCAGTTTTTATATAACGAAACCTACTTTAAAATGCGGGGTTTGGGTATTTTTTGCTGAAATCCACTTTTTGGCTAAGTGGACTTTATCCCCACAGCAGAAAAATCCCATCATTTGGCACAGAACTGCACTCTTCACAATTCTCTGCAAAAAGAAAGACATCTGCCTCCTAAAAAAACATTAACCTGTATTGTAGCTTAAATAATTGTAAAAGAAATAACATCCTCTGATTAGCTGTTTTTTTAAAGTCACATTTAATGTTAAGATTTTGTCCATTTGCAAATGAAAACTATTTCATTATTTTAGTACTACCCAACAAGAGCTGACAAGAACCATTTCTCTGGGAAATAAAACTGCAGAGGGAAAATCATATTAAAGCAATTATTTAAATCAATCTGTTTCCTTGGAGCAGTTCATTTTGAGTTACTCATGTTGAAAGGTTCTATCTATAACACAGGAAACATCAGGGCTACAGTGCCTGTAACACATGGGCCTGGCTTCCATCCATCCATCCATCCATCCATCCATCCATCCATCCATCCATCCATCCATCCATCCCAAGTGCAAAACAGGATTCCCACATATTTTGTGAATTTACTCAGTTTCTTACAAACATTTAAAAAAACCCAAAAACCAAACCACCCAAACCCCACAAAAACAACAACAGAACTCCCCACAACCTTTTATACATGTTGCATACGAGAATGTCCATGATTTATGCAGGGATTGCACCTTGGATTCAAACACCAGACTCCTGGCTGCTGTAGAGTCAGTCCTTTGAAGCCTATGGAGCTGCCATGACCTTCAGCAGCTGGAGATCTGCCCCAATGCATTTCTAATCCATTTCTGGTGTCCCAGGGCAGGAAAGAAAATGCAATATTTGTATGTGCCATCATTGTCTACTGGCAGTTTCCACAAGGAACTTTTCAATGGATACACTTGTTTTCTGCTGGGCTCAGTGTTGACTTAACAGAAAAGCTTTTTATCCCCCTGGAAGCCTTTCTGGGTATGAGTTGTGCTATTTAAACACCCTTTTCTTTGCTGCTAATATAAAAAAGCTGTGGGAGATGAAAATATTCAAAATGACACAGCAAAGCGGGGATAGGGATTGTTTGATATGGAGCTGAATTGTCCCCACTGAGGGGAGCACTGGAAACATCTGGGACAAAAGCAGCAGCACAGGCTGTGGGGTGGGCAGAAGAACCATAATTCAGAGGGCAGCAAGCAATGAATTTCTGGGTAAGGAGCCAGACAGCTCAGAAGCAAGCTTAATAGAGCCATAAAAATGATTGGATATCAGGAAAAAATTCTTCCCTGAGAGTAGTGTCCAGCATTGGAACAGGCTGCCCAGGGCAGTGGTGGAGTCACCATCCCTGGAGGGATTTACAAAATATGTAGATGTGGCACCTGGGGACACGGTTTACTGGTGGCCTTGGCAGTGTTTAGTGATCTTAGAGGTCTTTTCCAACCTGAATGATCCTGTGATTCTATGATAATTCCAGATTTATTTTAGCTGTTGGTGAGGATGATGGTCCTAAAGTCAGGCTCTGGTGCTCTGTCACAGCCACACAGCTACATCCTCACAGGTTCCCAACACTCTTTCACAGTACTGAATTTATCATTCCTTCTGTGAAAGAATAAATGTTTTATTAATGCTCCCTAATCATAAGGAAGGAGTAGAGAGTCTTAATTAAGTCATTAGCAGTTGTTATGAGCCTATATTTTGTTCTGTAAACCTGAAAGAATAGATAGTATTAATACTATTTAAAATTTATAACTCCTTTCCCCCGTATTTTGTGTATGCTTTAAACTGTCTCAAGAAATTATATGAAGGATGTTATTAAAAAAACCCCAAAACCCCAAAACCAATTAGGGTGTGAGATCAATTTTATCTGTCCCAAAAAGTGCCAAAACACCAAATGTGCTGCTCCCCCTCCCAAAATTCCAGCTCCAAGCTGAACACTGTCAGCACCACCCCTGTCAGTCCGCAGAGCCTCAGACATTTTCCTCTGGTGCCAAAGGGTATCTAATAGGGAATTTAACCATGGGGCAGCAGGATGGCTTTTCTTAGCTGCCAGAGATTTGTGATCCTTCACAAATTCCTTATAGCAGTCCCTGGGCAGCCAGGACTCTGTAGTAGAAATTATTCACCAGCAACCAAAAGGAAATGTCACAGAAAGGGCAGAGGAGGAGCAAACCTCCAAAGAATTTGGATCTGCCACCAACATTAAGATTTCTCTCTGCTCACTGTATGACTGCCTGAAAAAGCTGGACACAACGGAGCACCACTGTGAGTTAATCCTTTCACATATAAAATCTCTCCATAGTTGCCCACTCAATCACAAGGTGAGAAAACAACAGGTACATTCAGCTTTAATGAAATAATCATCAGTTCTATGTACAGCTATAACAGAGGGAAAATCAGATACAAGAGAGGATGCAAACCCAACCCCTGACGTGGAGCGAGTCACAGGGCAGGGCTGGAATGGGCATTTCTGCCATTCTCCTCCTTTTTTGAAGACATGTTTCACCTAAAAGGCAATACTGAAATAACACCAAATCCTCCCAAAACAGTTTAGCAGGCTGACAGAGGATGACAGCCTGGCCCTGTGGGGTAATTTTGTGTTTATTTACTAAAGCTTGGGCATCCTCCTCTGCAGCTGGCTGCAGTGGGATCCCACAGCAATGCTGCAGCCCTTTGCTCAGCACCAGCCTGCCACAGTGCCCAGTGTAACCCTGTAAGCCTCTCCCAGCATCAGGATGGCTCTTCCCGGGGTGCTGTGGCAGCTCCAAAGGTACATCTAAAAGTCCTTTAAAAGTCCCTTTTTCAAAACTATGGCAAAATACCTGGAAGGACCAGTATGAAGTACAAAGCCATTAAAATTGTACACACTGAATTATCAATAGCTGATAACTTAATAAACAAATTCACAGGAAAAAAAAAGACTTTTTTTTTTTTTTCTTTACCACCCTCTGGGTTGTTTTAAGTTTTACTTGCACAAAGATAAGCTGTGGCTCTCGTGCTCGCAGTCCTCTCATGACATCAAGATGTTTTATCAAGGTTTAAAACATATTTTTGTGCACCGGGTAGGAGGGACAGATACAGCCCTTGTATTTTAGCAGGAATCCAAAGTCTGTGCTGGGAAGGGAAATCTCAGCTCATGGTCAGTGAGCAATTGCCAAGCACAGCTGCTATTTCTGTGCCGGCTGAGGAACACGCAGGAGAATTTTCTCAGAGGAACACGCTGCCTTGCCCACAGCTGGACACAAATCCCAGCCACGCAGATGCGATCCCGTGTTGTTAAAAGGCCCCTTTCTCCTGGAGTGCTGGTAGCTGGAGGTGATGCTCACACACAGACACGCTGCTCCGGTGCAAACCCCTCGGGGCAGGGCAGTTCGCGGGGACTGACAGCAGGAGGCTCGTCCTGGCATTTCCCAGCCATGTCCTCAGGCCCTCATGTCAGGACTTTTTTTTCCCTGAGGACTTTGGTAAGATTGCTCCAGCATTTCCCTGCGTGTTTCAGAGCGAGCTACATGGCGTGCCAGAGCCATGGCAGCGAGCCGGGCACACCGCACGATTCCCAAGGGATGCCTGGGCTGGATGAGGGCGGGAGGGCTCCGAGCGGGGAGCGGTGCGGGACGGGCTCCGCCAGCAGCGACCTAATGGCAGCGATCCCGGCAGCACCCTGCAGCTTCCCAAACTATGCCGACTGCTAACACGCATGCAGCTCGCTGCTATTTATATCACATGCCATGTATAAAAAAATATGCTACATCTGAGGAGAGCTTCAGCACGACACCGGCATGGGGACGGAGGGAGGGAGGGAGGGAAGGAGGCGAGGGGCTGCCTGCGGCAGGGCTGCTCCCGCCCAGCCCACGCCCGGGATGCCGCAGGGAATTTTTCCCGTTGAGTTCGATGGCGCGGGAAAGGCTCCCCCAGCAGACGAGGCGCTGTCGCTCTCTTGGCGTTGGCGCAGCCCGGGGTCAGCAAGGCGAGGCTGATGCTGAGCTTTAGCGTGTCTGGAGATGCACAGGCTGCTCCTGACAGAGGGAGAGGCCGAAGGAAGGAGAGAGCTCGCTGGAACCCGGCGGCTTCGTGCCACAGCAGTGACCGCGGCTCCCGGCGCCCGTGCGTAGCGAGGGCCGGTTCACAGCACAAAACACAGCCTGGCATCGATGTTTTCTTGTTAATATTGCAGACACTTCGCTCTTCCTCATCTGCAATAAAGGCCCAGCAAGCCTCCAGCTGTTTCAGCGTGCCCCGAGTCCAGCCCAGCAGCAGGTCGGGCACCCACTGCCTCTCAGGGCCGTTCTTCCAACACATGGTATGTACAGATCCACAGCACGAACAGCGGGGAAACAGGGCACGGGTGACAGCAGAAATGTGGCCTTGACATAAATGTGCCAATAAGTGAAAATACAGTCACTGTAACACCTTAATTTTTCCGCAGCTGTGGTCAGTGGTGCTGTCTGAAGCCCCAGGGGACACGCTGCTCTCAGCAGGGTCTGCCCACGTCCCGGGATCCGTTTCACATAGACACAACTGAACGGGCATGCAGAATAACTACAGAATTAACTGGGAGCTCTCCCAGCTCTCCACACACCCCGCAGGCCAAATGGAGCTTGAAATCACTCTCTCTGCCCTTTCTCTCTGGGGCAAGGCTGCCATCACAGAAAGCTGTTGTGCTTGTTCTGTTCCAGGGCCATTTCGTTGACCAGCTGCTCTATGGATGACTGAATGGCCGCCTTCACGAGGGAGGAGGCGGTTTCTATGAGGAGCAGCTCGTACTGCTCACCAGTTCTGTGCCCCTGGTCACCCAGACCTTTCTCCTCTGCCTGGGGACCACCACCAGCCTCAGGGCCCTCTTTTTGGCCAACATCAGTGTTCCTGTTTGATTTTTTATTCCCTTTTTGCTTTTTTTGGTGCAAAACTGGGGATGGCTCATAGCCCTGGTCAGAGTCGGTGTTGTCAGAGTCCTCAGCTTCGGTGATGGTGATGACGATGCTGACACCAGCACCTGCATTTGCTTCTAGTATCTGACGGCTGGAGCATTCCTGCACACTTGCTGCATCCTCCACACTCGCTGCATCCTGCACACTCGCTGCATTCTTCACGCTTGCTGTATCCTGGGCACTCGCTGTCTCCTGCACACTCACTGCCTCCTGCACACTTGTGGCATCCTGCATGCTTGCTGTATCTTGCACACTCACTGCATCCTTAACACTTGCTGCATCCTGCACAATCACTGCCTCCTGCACACTCGCTGCATCCTGCACACTTGCTACTGCCTGCACACTCACTGCATCCTTCATGCTTGCTGCTTCCTGGGCACTCGCTTTCTCCTGCACACTCACTGCATCCTGCACACTTGTGGCATCCTGCAAGCTTGCTGTATCTTGCACACTCACTGCATCCTTAACACTTGCTGCATCCTTCACACTCACTGCTTCCTGCACACTCACTGCCTCCTGTGCACTCTCTGCATCCTGCACACTTGTGGCATCCTGCAAGCTTGCTGCATCCTGCACACTCGCTGCATCCTGCACATTTTCTGCCTCTTGCACACTCATTGCCTCTTGCACACTCACTGCATCCTTCACACTTGCTGCCTCCTGTACACTCGCTGCATCCTGCACATTTTCTGCCTCCTGCACACTCTCTGCGTCCTTCACACTTGCTGCCTCTTGCACACTCACTGCATCCTGCACACTTGTGGCATCCTGCAAGCTTGCTGTGTCTTTCAGACTCGCTGCATCCTGCACATTTTCTGCCTCCTGCACACTCTCTGCGTCCTTCACACTTGCTGCCTCTTGCACACTCACTGCATCCTTCACACTCTCTGCATCCTGCACATTTGCTGCCTCTTGCACACTCATTGCCTCTTGCACACTCACTGCATCCTTCACACTCACTGCATCCTGCATGTTCACTGCATCCTTCACACTTGCTGCCTCCTGCACACTCGCTGCATCACCTCCAGATGCCAGCTCACTGAAATCAGTTACAGACTCCTCGGCTTTGCACTCTTTAGAAAGATTTATGCTCTTTTCCAATTCATCCCTTTCAGGCATCTCTTTGCAGATATGAGGGATTTCCTGCCACTCTGTGATTTCAGGGGCATTGTCAGGTTGATCTTTAGAAACAGCTTCGGGAGCAACTTCCCTGCCCTCCACATGGTCGGTGGTTTGGGGCAGACTCCCTTCCTGCAGTTTGTCCTGGGCTGTTTCATCAAATGTCTCTGAATTGGTTATCTCCAACTGAACAGTGCACTCTGAATGTTCTGCATCACGTGTGGGCTCTGTTGAGGGCTCACTCTTCCCAACAGAGATGCCACTTTCCTTTTCTGTATGGCTGTCTTCTTTCACTGTATCCTGGTCCTCTTTCATTGTATCCTGGTCCTCCTTCATTCTATGCTGCTCCTGCTTTGCCATATCCTTCTCCTCCTGGGCAGAGACTGGGCTGAGGGATTCAGATTTGTATGTCGGGGCCAAATCCTCTGGCTCTTCACTAGCCTTATTCACAACACCCATCGCTTCATTTGCTTGAACACTGCCCTCTGACTCCTCCACTGCTTCTGAGGGGCTGGGTTTTTTCTTACCTCTGGAGAACCTCACACAGGGCATCTTCACCCCAGAGCTTGCCCGTTTCTTTGGGAGGTCTTGTGCACAGCTGTCCTCAGCATCCACCTCCAGCTGCACTTGGGAATCAGAGGGCACCTTCTTCCGTGAGGAGGACTTCTGCCTTCTCTGAGGTCTGGCAAGGTTTTTGATGGCTGCCCAGGTTCCTTTGGAGGATCGTGATGGATTGGAAGCTTTGGCCTCCTCTTGGTCAGCGCTGACACATTGGCTTTTCTCCTCTGAGGCTCCTTCGCACGCATCCTTCACAGTCAGCCCCTTCTTACAGGACTTCTTCCGCTTCTTAAAACAGAGCATGGAGGGTTTTTTTGCTTGTTCCTCTGGTGGGGAACATGTGGCCCCTGTGCTGGGAGCCTCTGCCTCTCTAGGGTTCTCCATTTCAATTTCCTTAGCTGCCTTCACCATATTCTCCTCTCTTTTGTTGGTGTTGTGCTGCCGATTTTCCTAATCAATGCTTCAGACACAAGAACTGCAGAGACGCTCAAAGTGCATTTTTTTCCTCAAATAGATTTCCAAATAATGTTAGTTGCTTTGTAAGGAGCGTATGTGGCAGTGAGAAGTTCTGCTGGAGCTGTCACATCCACTTTGTAACTCCCACTTTGCCTTATTACTCACTTTATCACCTCTCCAAGGAATCCCGGGTAGATGTGCAGTTGAACAGGCTTCTCCTTGGCTTTGCTGGCCTCAGTCACTCTCATCTCTGGAGCAACCCACTTCCAGTTGTGCTTGGTCTAACTGTATAATGGCCAGTCTCACATACCTTTTTTTTCCCCCAAAGGATGACAAATCAAGCCAAGAATTAACAATTTTTATTCACGCCACGGACCTGGAGGGAACTTGCACTTTGTGAGCTCTCTGCAATTCCACATTGCCCAGGGAGCTTGATCGAAGCACCAGTGGAACCAGCGGCTGTTTTCTGCCCCCCAGTGACAAGGTCAGATGCTGCTTTGCCTTGGCTTTGGTTTCTGCTTCAGTTCCCCTCGCGTGTTACATGAAATTTGCTGCAAAGCATGACCGAGGCTTTCATCTTTTTATCTGGAACACAATAAATGAGTGATAAGACCCGTAGAGAAATTTTTTTAAAAGTACTAAAAAGTTTTTTCTCCCTAAACATTTCGTTTTGGGAGGCAGACCAGGGCTGGATGCACTATAGCAGGTTTTTCTCACTAATTAGCATCAATATCCAAAGGCAAAATAAGGCCACAAGATGTCAACCCAGTGATGTTCCATCACAGAAAGTACTATTTTGCTATTTTATGAGGTAAAAAGGGATTTTTTTTTTTATATAACTGCCCATATTATGGTGAATACTTATTACACAGGCACACACATATTTCCTTCTCCTACGGTTTGCTAAATCCTTTCCCCACTGCTCCATATGCACTTATAGTTCCAGCTAGGGAAATTACACCCTGAGACAGCAGATATTTTTATCTTTAATGCACCATATGACAATATGCAAAAACAGAGAATACAAAAAGGAGGCTTGAGGAATACAAAAGCGAAATCACATGGCAAGAAGGGAGCTTATTTATACTACGTGCATGCCTCCCATGGCAACCTCAATTAACACCGTGTGTGCTCATCAAAGACATGATGTTGTAAGATGTGTGTCAACCTGTCAACCTTAGCAGAAAAAAAAAAAAAAAAAAAAAAAAAAAAAAGACCTCTATCTCGAAATATCATCAGAACCTTTTGGATAGAACGATGCAAAAAGCTGTTACCACAAGCAGACCAACTTCTGCAGGACGGGCTCGGGGGCTCCGGGCAGGGCTTTACACGGCATTTCGTGCTCTGCTTTTCAGGAGCAGGGTGATTAAAAGGGGGTTCCGGGGCACGCTTCCCCCGCAGCACATCTGGGTTTTTTAAAAAATGGTTATTATTTTAATGAGGCTATTTTAAGGGGAAAGCGAGCGGAGCTGTCAGAGCCGTGTGAGCGCGCACCCGCAGCAGCCGGTGCCCCGAGCGCATCCCGCAGCCCGGCTCCGCCGCCCCCGCGCCCGGGAAGTTTTTGGGGCGTCCGCGGGTGCGCAGCAGGACCCGCCCGGCCGCGGGGAGCCCCCCACGGCCGGACCCCTCCGGGGCTCCGAGGGCAGCCACCGCGGAGGCGGCCCCGGCCGGCACCTGCTCGCCGCCTCCTTCCTCCGGTGGGAAAGCGTCGCTCCCCGCTCGGCGATCAGCATCCCCGTCCCCTGGCGGGGTAGCATCCCGCCCTGTGGCGGGACAGCACCGCTCTCCTGGCGGGGCAGGATCCCTCGCCCGCTGGCAGAGGAAGCTTCCGTCCCCTCCCAGGCTGTGCGCAGCAGCTGCAGACCCGAAAACCGCCAACTTCAGCTCGAGGTGGAGGTCCTCCCAGAAATCGAGCTGCGGTTTGTAGTTTGGATGCCAGCGGCAGCAGGAGGCACTGTAAGGGAGCCCGGAGCACACCCCGCGGGAGGAGGCACCGCTGGGGCGTTCCTGGCTTTCTGGGAAGGGAGGGGGTCTTGCTCTTGGCAGCTGTTTTTTGTGTCCCACCTGAAACCTTCACAGCTTTCAGCACTCACTGTTGGAGGTGCTGCAGGAGCTGCACCTTTGGAGGTGGAGATAAGGACAGCCAGCTCTTGGCTTCAAACTAATCCATGCCCAAAACACCAGAGAAAGTGCCTCTTTCATCAGAGCCTTTCTTCTCTCCAAAGCAGCTGAGATCTGACTTAAAAAAAATCACGTCTCCAGCTGTGATGATTGATGGGAGAACCTCCAGAAAAAGGACTTCCCAGTGCAGCTGATGAACTACAGGAAACTGCAGTTGAGATGCCCGAACGTCCCCATTCATCTCCACGGGGAGCTGACGCCCACAAAGGCTTTAGAGACATTAACTGCTTCACAGCATGTTTGCACACGAGAAACTGAGCAAAGCAGCACTCTGAACTTGCAAGTGGCTTCCAGTGTAGGCCAGGCTTAGAAAAAACACACATGGCCTCCCCCCTCCTCAGCTTCTTCATGGGAGAAAAGGTACAAAATGGATTAGTTGGGCTGAAACGCCAGCCAGGAGGGCAGAAAAAGTGCATTGAGCATCACAAGGAATTGCCTTTTTAAAAGCTCCCCTCTGAGATGTGTTTGCTCGCATTCACTCAGGATAATAAACTTCATTTGGAAACAGCTTCTCTCCTGAGGTGGGTGGTGGGTTCTAATTATGATCCACTGCTTTATTAAAGCCAAGTGAGGCCCTTCAATGCAAGGAGCTTTTCCCTCATTGCAGCTGGAGGCAGGAGGGAGGGAAGCAGACAATGAGGATGGCTAATGTGAGGCTGGGGAATGTGGTGGTGTGATGGAGGCAGGCTGCCATGAATTCCCTTGGGAGCACTTTGCATGGAATCCAATTATTCCTGACGCTCCAGGGGCAGATGGCAGCACCAATGGCTGTGGTGAAAGGGAAATAAAAGGTAAGCAAAGGATCAGGTCAGAAGTTGGGTAAGCTGGACAGAAGATCCTGGCCCAGCTGGATCCTGTTTTCTTTCTGTGGTGCTAGTGACATGCAACAAGTCAACCAAGCAACACCTTCTCCTCTTTCTTGCCCCCAGCACTACCTAAAACCATAAATCTGTGTTATTTCTTACAGGATGCGGTGCAGTGCTCTCACAACAGCACAGCACGGGGGACGGATGGCCATAACACCAGCTAAGGACCAGGCCCACAAATAGCCCACAGATTAGAAATTTGTACATAATTAGTTTTTTCTCTAAGCAACAGGAGGAGAAGAAAACCACTGAGTACTTAGCTAGGAGAAATTAAGTGTCCTCTGTGTCCTATTTGATAGGACAAGACCTAGCTGGGACCCTTAGCTACAAAGGAGAGTATTAAAAAAATAACCTATTTATGTATCCATCCTGCAAGAGAAAAGAGAGGTTAGAAGTGCAGGTTAGAAAACATTCCCTATTGATCTCTGGAGATGCTTGGGGCTATTTTTTTGGCCCTTGTGCTTTGTTGTTGTGCAGCAAACCCTTCAACAGCTCGTGCGTGATCCGGCGCTGTGCCTCACTGCAGGAGGGGGACTAGCAACCTCTTGAACCATCTCTCACAAGCACATGGCTATGATCTCATGCTAAACTAAAAGGAGGCTAATCTTAGCATAAATTTGCACTTATCCCATCTTTCATAAGCATAAAATGAAGGTGGAACACGGAGCACTTGCAGGAAAGCAGTGTAGCAGGGAAGATTAAATGTAGGAACTGACAGCAGACTTGGCAGCATCCGCTCTGGCACCCTGCTCCCAGGGAAGGCTGGGCCCTGGAGCTGCAGGTGAAGAGGCACCCTCAGCCAGGCTGGGGGGGCTGGGCAGCAATGGGGGAACCCCTCCTGACCCCCTGCAAGGGCACTGAGGCTGCTCTCCTGCCTGCCAGGAAATCCTTGGCTGGATAACATCGAAAGGAACATTTTAGGAGGCTGTGAATGCATCTCAAATGCTCTCACAACCATTTTAAGTGTTCTGTCTGCTTGTGTCACAACCAGGTAACTTTTATGTAATTATTCTCCCCTCCTGAATAACTGAAGAAATAGAGATCTTTCTTTCCATATATATACATATTCACACACAGTATCTGTGTACTACAAATGCTCCCCTACGTTGGTGCACACCTACATCCTGATCCTCCCAGTTCTCACCAAATTTGGAATGTTTTTAGATTCAGTTCTGATACAAGCAGATGGGTCTCATGACTGTTAATTCAGATATTCTGCAGTCAGATGCAAGTATCTCACATTCACAGAATAATTCAGGTAGTTTATTTCCTACAGACAACATACATCATCTAGGGAAGGAAACCACATTAAAACACACACCCCCTGGTGCATTGCAGGCTACTTATTACTGCAATAATCACTCCTACTTGTCAATACAATGATTGCTGTTGTGTGTAGTTAATCACAGAAATAAATTCTAATTCAGTAATCTCAGTGCATACATTAAAACCCAAAAAGCACTTGAAGTATTTGCCAGTTTATTTGTATTAGTTAAAAAATTGTCAGCAATGCTATCTTCATGTTACAAAATGATTTTTGGCCGCTAACAAAACCTGTTACAAATCACTCGATCACTGTTCACATTGTTTCTATTGATCAAAAAGGTACCTTCAGAAACAAGGCCTGTCAATGGTGTAACTGCACTTATGGTTGAGCAGGAAATGGTTCAAAGGACACATTTGGTAGAAGCCACAGATATGGGCCGGAGACCCAGTCCCTCCAGATCTTCTATCCAGGGCTTTCATTCCATTGACAGAAGAACACAGCAGTCGCAGCTGGGCTCGGGCTATCCATGTGGCTCAGGTGCCTGCAGGAGTGACTCCCAGCAGAAAGCAGGGTAAGCACTTGTGGAGAGCACTGGGAAGCGAAGGGGATCCTCCCTGCTCCTCTGAAATGACACTGGAGCAGTGCCAGGGCACAGCAGGTTCTCCCAAGGTGCGAGAAGAGGAACAGAGGATTCCGCGTGGCAAAGGGGAAACTGCAGCCAGCACGACTTCTAAAGATGATGGATGCTGCAAAACCCCGATGGTTAAGACAATTAAAGTCCCAAGACT